TTTAAATGATGACAAATGAATCTTCATAGAATCCAGCCCACTTCTGACAGCAGCAAACAATCCTTCAGAATTCATTTATCAACCCTCTTGATTGACTTGTTACCCAGTCCTTACCCTAAAATCTGCAAACACATATAGACCAAGGAATGAGCAACAAAAGACTAACTGATAACTGGAATTGGATTCCTTCAGTTGATAATAAGATTGTACATTTTCCCCCAGATACTATTAAAGTGGGAATGCGTTGCATGGTCCTTCCAGGAGGTACTAAAAACCCTGTGCGCATCAGAATCTCTCAACAACAAAAACAATGGAAGACTATCTAAAATCGCTAGCCAAAATAATAGTTAATGCCATTTTCAGTACCATTTAAAGGACTATCAAGCAAGGATTTAAAGGATTATTAAGCATGGGCTATTAAGCAGAGACTTTCTTTAGCTACAGGGATCTTGGAATAAAAAATTGTTTTTCTCCTATTTGTGTCTTTAAGAAAATTGGTGGTTGTTACCTTGGAAGTACAGCAGTGATAACCACTTGAAAGCTTGAACCAAACATGACTGTTTAAGATGGGAACTCAACCAAGGGTCCATAGCATCCTCGCTCTTAATGAGCCCAAGCCACCCCATTATCAGTACAAAAGGACTCGACCTTTCTTAAACAGAAGTCCTACATGTGGATTTAGGCACCTAACTATGACATCCCTATTGGAAAAGTTGGCCTAAGATCCTGCCAAATTGAATAAAAGTGCAGAAGAGGCAAGTCATTTTTCAAGTTCATACCTCCAAAAACAGACCCTTTCCAGGTGCGTCCAGTGAATAGCATCATGGGGTTGAAAGTGATCTTTTCTGATGCAGGGGGCACCCCGACAATCACGCAGGTTCCATAGTTATCTTGGCAGCATGCCAGGGCAGCTGTCTGAATTAAAACCAAAGGAAACACTCTGCAGTCATACAGACAGTAGCTATTCCACGCACAGTTGCAAGCTCCATTCTCAGTTGCTTGTGTGACTGACAATACAGCAAGGTTCCTCCAATAACAGTGAGAATACATGACACAAACATCAGCACCCAAACTATCCCACCTCCCACCCTGGTCTGGGTGCAGAAGAGGGGACAGGAAGCTTGATGGAACCAAATACTGAATGGGAAGGGAAATCAAAGAGGACAGGTTTGTCTCTTTGGCATCATTTGCCATAATTACTCAGCACACAAAGGTGCCTCTGTATCAAGATCCAGAGCAAGATGGGTGACTGAATAGCTGCCTTTTGAGGCATTGTGTCCACTCCAAAACCTTTGGGGCCATGGAGGTAAGTTAATGCTGATACTGATGCTGTTAGCATTTTCAGACCTGTCCCACCCTTCTGCATTTCCTACTATTCTCTCCCACCACCTCTCAAGGGCTTTTTAGATAGCAGCATATTCTCTGGCAACATGAATCCCCAGGTGCCTATATACATGCTCCAGGGAGGGAGATGGGGGTGGGGCTCTCGGGAGTGGCCTGCAGTATCTGATGTAGTCAGCATCCTGTCTTTCAAAATGGTGATGGGGCACTTTAACTATTGCTCATTTTATGCCATTTTGAAATGCAGGATGCTGAATACACCAGATGCTGCTGCACACTAGAGCATTCAGATGAGTGTTCCAGCAGAAGCGATTAATCGAGTTTGCTTTGTTGCCTTCTAATCTAATCGGAGCACATATATGGAATGGAAGGGATGTGGATTCTGCGGTTTTGAATTGCTTCTTAACAATTGCTTAACAACTCTGCACTTCCAGTTGGATTGCAAAGGGGCTTAGCTAAGGGACCCTTGAGTGGTTAAATTCATACTTTCCACTGCCCACCACTTGGTAGACATCTGACATTTTCAGGTCGCCTACCATGGTATCAATGCGTCCAATTACTTCAAATGAATAGTCCACACCACCACCAGTCATCTCCGACAGCACCTCCTGAATGGGTTTCTTGCAGTCCAGTGGGTTGATGCACTCAGTGGCTCCTAGCTCCTTGGCCTTGGCAAATTTATCTTTGTTGATGTCAATTCCAATGATCCGGGAAGCTCCAGCTGCTTTACAGCCCATGACGGTGGAGAGCCCAACTCCTCCCAAACCAAAGACAGCGCAGGTAGAACCAGGTTCCACCTGCATAATCATAACAACATGGGACTCTTAAAAGGCAGGTGGCATTCAGAAAATTAGTCAACTTGTCAGTCTCTTCAAGTTAGCCATTAATACATGCTGCTGGTAACTGTCTGGCAGCATTTTTGCAGCAAAAAGCCGCCCAGCCGCCAGCCACGTTACTGGATTACGTCTGAATACAATGCCACCAAAGCATATGCGTGAGAACAGGTTTTCGTTAGAGATGAGATCATGACACCAAATCTGGGTTTAGTTTGGGGGTATTTAGATCAGGGATTTTGGCTCAACCTATTTAGGAGAAGGCTGTAAAAAAAACAGATTCTGATATGGATTTGGATTCTGAACCTTCCATGAAATTGCTGGAATTATCTAATTCAAGTTTTTGATTTGACCAAGTCTCTAGTATAAACAAACACACTGCACATATACACTGAACCCTGAGTTATGCTAATTATGCTGCATGAAAGCTGTTCCCATAAAGAACTGGCATGCCCCAAAGAACTGTGAGCTTGCAGAGAACTGATAACTTTATAGCAGGCCTCTGGCTTCACCACTCCTAAATGTATGCCATGAGATAAGCAAACAGTTTTAAGAGAGGAAATCTTTTAGGAAATCTCTTTTTATACTGTTTTTTATCTGTAAATCTCAAAATGCATTACTTTGGGAAAAATGGAGAGAGGTAGACAGAACTGATATTTCCTGCAAGTCAACATCTACAGCTCTGATCTTCTACATTACAGGCACAGGCCCTCTCCAATAGACACACTGTCATCTTTGTCCTTGAAACACGTATTCCAATTCTCACCTTAGCAGTTTTTACTGCAGCCCCATAGCCAGTAGAAAATCCACAGCCAATCAGACACACTTTCTCCAGAGGAGCAGCAGCATCTATTTTGGCAACTGCCGTCTCATGTACAACTGTGTATTCCGTGAAGGTACTCGTACCTATAAAGTGATGGATCATTTTTCCTTTGCAGGTAAACCTGCTGGTTCCATCAGCCATTAATCCAGAAGGTGACCCAAGGCTATTAAAAAGACATCCGGAAATATAGGTAAATTAGATATTTCAAATGCAGTCAGACTTACTGTAAATGTAGTCAAACTTACAGTATGAGGAGTATCACCAGCAAGACTTACTCATTTCTAATGCATAGATTGCCATTTGATTTTAAGCAAGGCATACACTCTCCACACTGTGGGACAAAGAGCGGGATGACTTTGTCACCTAGAAACAAAGCAAATAAATAAAAGGAATTTTAAATCAAGAACACATGTAAAAGGCTGAAGTACATATAATTATTACACAAACTTACAGTCAAAGAGCAATTCGTAATTGAATCTTCACTGTTACCTTTTGAAATGAAACACCTAGTAGAAATAGACAGCTATACTTATTTTCTTACCAAAAATCAATTTTCTGCCCAGGACAGTGTAACTAGTACAAAGTTATGACTGAGAATTTCAAAATTCAAAATACGAGGGAATTCAAAGTGTTGGTACTCATCACAGGGCATACACTGGGCATGTGCCTGGTGATAAAGACTTGTTGTCAGTTTATATATGTGTTACCACTCATACAACATTGTTAAGCAGTCTTCCACATTTCCCATTTCCCACTGGAGAATGACATGTTAGTGTGATGTGTGGAATCAAAACCGGAGGTTACAAAAAGTCCCTGGGTGGATTATGACCACTCTTCCATTCTTTATATGTGCATTGAAAGAGGATCATGATTTATGTTTTTTCTTTTGTAACATGGTGATGCATCTATACATGCACTTTACTAGGGAGTAGACTAATTTGCTGTGGCGTAAAGCATCATCATCTACATTAATGCCACATTATGCTAGTATTGTTGGGGACAGTACTATCTTACATCAGGGTAATTTGCTGCGATGAAATGCACATGTAGCTGCTGACTGAGTGCAAATCGCAGCCAGTCAGCACAGCCAGCTGGTGGCCAGATTCCTGCCTGCTGTCTAGACACACAGCTGTTCACTTTCAGCACCTTTGTGCCCCAGCCAACCCCTCTGCCGCTCATCTGACGTCACCACCCAGAGCCCGGGGCTGATCCCTCGTGCCCCTTCAGATTGCCAGCCCTCCACCATGGCTCAAATTACTGCTGTTTCAGGCACAGGTGTAGATGCTGCACCCAGGAGCAGTTTACTCCAGCTCAAACTGTCCTGGAGTTTACTACTTCATATTAATTGGATGTGTAGATACACCTGGTGGCATGGCATGAAAAGGGATAAAAGCAGTGGGCACAGTTTAAATAAATAGGAAATGATTTGCTATTACACTTTTGCCTTGAGCTTGTGTGTACAGGCAACCCTTGCTTAACACAGTTTCACTTACCACAGTTTCACTATAGTGCTCATTAAAAATATCTATCTGGTTTCACTTAGCACTCAGTGGTTTCATTATAATGCTCAGCGCGGGAGGTAGGGAGAAACAGTGGCAGCAGCGGCAGTGGTAGCAGCATCGAGTGAAGCGGTAAGTGGCAGCTGGTGGGGCCCAGGGTGGGGTGGCAGGAGCCCAGGGTCCGCTCTGGCACGTGGTGCTGGAGCAGCTGGCATGAGGGGAGGAGCAGCAGTGGTGGTGAGAAGTGGGAGCGGGGGGCATGAGCGTGGGGCCTGGGCTGGTGCCTGTGCGGGCCGGGTGCGAGCCGGGCCTTTTTTTGTGCTCTGCGCGGGCTGTGGCCAGCAGCCCGGGCAAGCGGGCTCGGAGAGGGCACGCATCAAGCTAGAATTAGGCACAGACTCGTAGCGGTAGATTTAAAGATTGTTTACTTACACCGGAGATGGTTGCGGTGCAGGCTGGAAAACTTGCTTGAGTTGCGGGTACAGACAAAAACAACACGG